ATGGGGTAGGTCATGGTTAGTAGTTACGTTCCAGGCTTATAACTTCTTTAGTGAAAGATTTAAAGCCAGCCCTGTTCATTGTTTTTGTACATCTAGGTTAACACACCTTTGAAATGCTAGAAGTAGTACCCCAGAGAAGGGGTATTAACCCTCAAGAGAGCACATCATCTTGTTAACTGTCATGTAATCTAATCCATACCTTGCTTTCTCCCACCTCCGTGTATGTTCCCCCCTTAATTTCAAATGTATAAAAGAAGCTGTGCCCTAGCCGGTTTTGCTCAGTGGATAGAGCATCGGCCTGGGGACTGAAGGATCCCGGGTTCGATGCCGGTCAAGGGCACATGCCTGGTTTCGGGTTCAATCCCCAGTAGGGGGCATGCAGGAGGCAGCTGATCAATGATTCTCTCTCACCATTGATGTTTCTCTCTCTCTGTACCTCTCCCTTCTTCTCTGAAATCATTAAAAATATATTGAAAAAATAAAAAATAAAAGAAGCTGTAAAACTGTTATTCTCAGGTCTGGTTGGAGTGGCTCAGTTGGTTGGAGCATCACCCTGTGCACCAAAAAGTTGCCGATTTGATTCCCAGTCAGGGCACAAACTTGGGTTGTGGGTTCAATCCCCAGTCGGGGTGCCTACGAAAGGCAACCGTCTTCTCTTTAAGCATGTCCTCAGGTAAAGATTAAAAAAAAAACACCCCAAATTGTTATTCCTGGGAACATTTGAGATCTTGCTTCCCAGCATTATGTCATCAATATGGCTCAAATAAACTTTTATAAAAATTCTCTATAGGTTTGGACTTTTCTTATATCAACAATAGTGAACACTTATGTAAGTCTCACTATGAGCCAGGCCCTGTTCTAAAAGCCTTACAAACGTTAATTAATTTGATTCTTACAGCAACTCTATATCAGTGAGTACTGATATTTATAGATAAGAAAACCGAATTTATAAATAAGGAAACAGAAAACAAACAGAGGGTTAAATAACTTGCCCAAGACCACACAACCAACAAATGATAAAGCTAGGTCTCAAATCTAGGAATTTGTTCCTAACCTGTTCCTTAGTTACACTCTGAGAAGAGTCCTAGAACCTTTCATTGAGCTAGAAATATTACCCTGGTATGTGAATATCTGGAGGGTATTTTGGCAATACATACCAAAAAAAAAAAAAAAAGCTTCAATAATGTGTCCATTTCGACCCCAGCATCTCTAAGAATTTATTCTAAGGAAACAAAGAAATATGTCAAAATGTATGTACAAGGGTATTAAGTATAGCATTATTTACACTGAAGAAAAATAGAAGCTAACCAAATGCCCCCATAGAGGGGATTGTTTAGATACTGGAAACGCCAGCTATGCAATAGAGTGCTGATGTGAATTTTAAAAAAGCTACATAGCGGAACTGACAAGCTCAGGGCAGGCCTGTAAAGCTGTAAAGCTCACTGACTGAAAGTAACCACACAGATGGTCTGATCATCAATTCCTAACTGGACAGGTCCTGGTGGGTAGTCACATCCCAGGCCTATAGCTTTCTTAGCAAAAGGTTAATCTTGACCTTAAGTGAGTCCTATCCATTGTTCTCCAGCCTCTAGGGCAGGGGTGGGCAAACTTTTTGACTCGAGGACCACAATGGGTTCTTAAACTGGACCGGAGGGCCGAAACAAAAGCATGGATGGAGTGTTTGTGTGAACTAATATAAATTCAAAGTAAACATCATTACATAAAAGGGTACGGTCTTTTTTTTTTTTTTAGTTTTATTCATTTCAAACGGGCCGGATCCGGCTCGAGGGCCGTAGTTTGCCCATGGCTGCTCTAGGGTAACATACCTCGAAATGCCAGCATCATCTTTTCCAGACCCTTGGGAGTTGTAACCACCCTTACGGAGCACACACACCACAACTCCTCCTTGTTACCGTGTGGCCGCACACCACCTCTACTTGCTGTAGTTGTTAAATGTTCCCCCCCCTGTCCCCGCCAATGTAAAAGCAGGTGTCTCTCCATTTTCCTTTATATTCAATCCTAGGGATTTCCCTCGCTTTACCTTTTCCCACTTCCTAATCAACCACACTGATTTCCTTTCTTTTTTAAAAAAAATATACTTTTTATTAATTTTAGAGAGGAAGGGAGAGGGAGAGAGAGATAGAAACATCAATGTTGAGAGAGAATCATTGATTGGCTGCCTCCTGCATACCCCACACTGGGGATAGGGCCTGCAACCCGGGCATGTGCCCTTGACCAGAATCGAACCTGGGACCCTTCAGTTTGCAGGCTGACCCTCTATCCACTGAGCAAACCAGCCAGGGCTTTTAAAATTTTTATTATGTATTTATTTAGTTTTTAATTATTATTTTTGAATTTCTTAAAAATATATTTTTATTGATTTCAGAGAGAAAGGGAGAGGAAGAGAGAGATATAAATATCAATGATGAAAGAATCATTGATTGGCTGCCTCCTGCATTCCCCACACAGGGGATCGAGCCAGCAACTGGAGCATGTGGTCTGACCAAGAATTGAACCATGACCTCCTGGTTCATAGGTTGACGCTCAAGCACTGAACAACACTGGCGGGGAACAGTGAATTCTATGAACTTTCCTTACATTTTCTCTTTCTATTCTAAATGTATAAAATGAACTGCAAAACTGCCATTCTCTGGATCATTTTCTCAATCTGTTGAGATCTTGCTTTAGGGCATGATTTCAAAATTTGACTCAAATTATTTTATGATTCTTTTATAGTTTGGGTGTTGTCAACACTAATAAATAATTTTTAATTGATTTAGGTTTTAAAACTGCGTTTCTCAAAACCCTGGGGTTAATTTGATATGCATTAGGGCTCTCCAATTTTGTTGTTGTTAATCCTCACCCAAGGACATTTTTCCATTGCTTTTTAGAGTGAGTGGAAGGGAGGGGGAGAGACAGAAAGATCAATGTGAGAGAGACGCATCGATTGGTTGCCTCCTGCACGTGCCCTGATCAGGGTTAGGACTGGCTCGAGCCTGCAACCAAGGTACATGCCCTTGGCTGGAATTGAACCTGGGACCCTTCAGTGGGTGAGCTGATGCTGTATCTACTGAGCCAAACCAGCTAGGGCAGGGCTCTCCAAATTTTTATCTGAATTTTGTAGATTGATATACTGCTGTCTCCAAACACCCCTCTCGACAAAAAAGAGGTGCTGTAATAAATTATAAATATCGAACGAGGCAAGTCATGGTGGGTAGTCACGCCCCAGTCATATAACTGTTTAGTAAAAGGCTTATCTTTGCCATAAGCAAGCCCTGTCCATTGTTTCTGTGCGTCTAGGTCAGCGGTTCTCAACCTGTGGGTCGCGACCCCTTTGGGGGTAGAACGACCCTTTCACAGGGGTCGCCTAAGACCATCGGAAAACACGTATATAATTACATATTGTTTTTGTGATTAATCACTGTGCTTTAATTATGTTCAATTTGTAACAATGAAAATACATCCTGCATATCAGATATTTACATTACGATTCATAACAGTAGCAAAGTTACAGTTATGAAGTAGCAACAAAAATAATTTTATGGTTGGGGGTCACCACAACATGAGGAACTGTATTAAAGGGTCGCGGCATTGAGAACCACTGATCTAGGTTAACACAACTTTGAAATGCCTCTTTTCAGACCCCTGTAATGAGTGAACCACCGTGTAGATCCCTCCTCAAGAGAGCACATAATCTTGACTCTCCTGTAATCTAATCACCATCTTGCTTTCTCCCAGCTTCCTTACCTCTGCTCCTTAATTTCACATGCAAAAAAGAAATTGCAAAACAATTATTCCCCAGAGCATTTGAAATCTTGCTTCCTGGCATATGTCATCAATTTCTTAAATGCTCCAGACAATTTTCTACAGGTTTGGGTGCTGGCATCAACAACTCTGATTGAGCCTTTTTGTGTTTGTAAAACACGTTCTCACAGATTTATTTTAAGATGAGTAAATGTTCTACATTTGAATAGTAGCTCATCCTTATGGGGAACAGATGCCTTTTTATTTATTTTTAAAAATGAGGATGCTTGTAGACTAAGCCTATTTTCAACACCACCTCACTAGTTATGGTGTGGTAATGAGTGTTCCCATTTTAGTTTTCTGGCTGGCTACCTTGCCAGCCTGCCTCCAATATATTTCTTCTACTGAGCACAACCAGAGTTCTCCATGTTAAACTAGCCTGTAATCTGCAAACTTCTTGAGGAGATTCCTCTCTATTGTATTTTATTCTGCTTTATGTATCAACAACCATGTAAAAAGATTCTTCCTTGAAACTGAGTCTTTAAAACTACTGGAAGAGGTAAGTGGGCAGTTGACTAGTGTGGACCACACAGATAACTTTTTGTAATTCAAAGCTCTTGGGAGCCCTGTTTATGCCTGGTTTTCTCTAAAGCTGAAATGGCCGTGAGCACCTGCTCTCTGAAGTGTGGAATGTTGCTATTAATCACGTGGCATCTTATAAGCTGCACCTTAGTGATGCTTATTTATCTACTAAGGGCCCAGTGCAAAATTTTGTGCACTTTGAAAGGAACTGTGGGCTGCGAGGCTGCAGTGAGCACAGGGGCGGGTCTTGGCCCATCCTCCGTGCCCCCACCTGGCCCCTCCCACCACGGCCTCTGGTCCCCTGTCTGCTGGCGATTGGGGCCGGCACCAGCAGCGGGTGCGAGTGCAGGGCAGGATCATGGCATGCAGGAGCAAAGAAGTTTCAGTAACCACCAGAGGCTCATCCCGATGACAGCGATTGGCACCCTGCCTTGGTCTGGTGCCCCTGCTCACCTGCTCCACCATCCCGCTGTGGCCAATGCCTGCTATGTTCCGCACGCGCCCCCGGTGGTCAGCGCACATCATAGTGATCGGTTGTTCTGTTGTTCCATTGTTCAGTCTATTTGCATATTAGGGTGATATATATATATATATCCTATAATTTCATTTATATATAGAGATGACCTATAATTCCATTGAAGACAGTACAACCTCTTTTTGCCACATTCTTGAAGACCAAGTTGAGGTGAAAAGGGAAAATGGAAAGGGATTTCTAAAATATCTAAGAATATGTGAGAGTAAAATCTGCCTTCCAATTTTTAAGAGGCGTAAGATAGATAACTGGTACACTGGCATACAAGCTCTAGAGTCTGCCCTGGAATTGGAGAACCAGTTAACCAAGCTCCTGCTAGACCTGAGGACCACAGCTACTGCCAACAATGAATATGATGTCTTATGCTTCATGGGAAAGCACCTGGATGAGCAGGAGGATAACACAAACCACCTGTAGGTCCAGCTAGGATATCGTAAGGATTAGAAATTCAGGCCCAGGAGGAGGAAGACCCATTTAAAAAGCCTGCTGATGTGTTAGGTAAATAGACATTTGAAGGCAACAAAGCAACTCTTCCCATTGTAGTAGGTCCCAAAACCAGCTACTTAAGAATCTTGATCTTCTCCATTTGACAGAAGACTGCTTTCCTTCATTGGTGTGTGTACAAATAAACCTTTTTTTTTTTTTTTAAAGCTCTTGGAAAGAGGCAGGGGGAATAAAGGGGACATATGTAATACTTTCAACAATAAAATGTTTTTCCTAAAGCTCTTGGAATTGTATCCCTGGCTGGTGTGGCTCAGTTAGTTGAGTGTCGTCCTGTGCACTGAAGGGTTGTCAGTTTGATTCCCGGGCAGGGCACATTCCCAGGTTGGGGGTTGGATCCAAGGTCAGGGCCTGTAGAGTGTCTCTCATATTGATGTCTCTCTCTTTCTCTCTCTCTCTTCCTCTCTTTCTGAAATCAATAAAAACATACTCAAAAAATAAAATAAAATCTCTTGAAAATGTAACTGTATCTGGTGTGTAAAGGATGTTGAAGAACATAATTTCATAAGCCAGTCTGAGAAAGACAAGTATCACATGATCTCACTCATATGTGGAATCTAATGAACAAAATAAACTGTTGAACAGAATAGATCCAGAGACAGAGAAGCATGGAACAGACTATGGAATCTCAGAGGGAAG